CCTTGTGGGGACCAAAGCCCGGTCCCCACAAATTCGGAGGCTGATTTTGGGTGGGGGGAATTGGGTTTAGGACCAAGGTGTGAAGTGAGTTTAGGTTAGTTTTAGGGTCAGGGACAAACCCTAAGGCTAACCTCACAGGTACCTACCTGACCCTAAAGCTAACCTAAACTCACTTCACACCTTGGGCCTAAACCCAATCCCCCCCACCCAAAATCAGCCTCCGAATTTGTGGGGACCGGGCTTTGGTCCCCACAAGGAGCGTCCGGTCACCAAACCTGCATTTTCCTATAGCCATGTGATGTGAGTATCAGTCACATGGAGGCATGGCTTAAAAGCCTGAATTTTGCCTGAAACTCTCAGACTGAAGAAGTCTCTTGGAGAAGAGACGAAACGTTTCATTAGAGAAGAACCCGTCCAGAAGACCTATACAATTGTTTTCTTTTTCATTTTTTACCTGGATTACTGAGATGCATCAGGACAGATTAGGATAAATTGAAGATTTAACACCAACCGTTGGTTTCTTTAGAAATTTAAATTTTACTAATTGGGTTTTATAAATGAATATCCTGAGATACATGGGATGTCTTTTGTTATACATTGGTGCTGTATAAATAAACTGAATTGGACTGAATTCTCATATTAGTCTGAGTTTTGGGCTGTGCCATTGTTGAGCCCAGTAGATCATAGTGCTTTCACAAGCTTGAGTTCAGAAACACTCAGCAGGCAAAAAGGATCACTCTGAGACGGCTGAAAATACAGCCCATTGGAACAACCAGGTGTGTAGCATCCAGCAAATACTATGCAAACACAAAAAGTGGAGGAGTAGCCAACATCTAACAAAATCTAATAAACCTTGAGAAAACTACCTGACGAAAGTTCTGGATTGCAAGGAACACAACATCAACAGAGTTCTCAAAAGAAAGAGACATGAAATAATAGGGATGGAGTACAGGAAAAGATAAATTAGCTTAGTGAGTCTCATCATGAGTACTCTAAAGGTGTGAAGAGAAACCAGGAGGAGAGGATTGTTTGAGGGAGGGGCGATGAAAGGGGAGGGCTACAGAAAACAGATAGAGAGAGGCAGGAAGCATGACAAACAGACTGACAGAAACAGGAGCACTTTCAAGAGGAGCACGGGAGAGGCAGAGCAGAAAAGTCTGGATCTTCCTGACTGCCTATAATAATGTGCTGTTAAGCATTTCAATGATGGATCACTGAGCTAAACTTCAGCCATTCCTGTATGCATCATGCTACCTTTGATGGGAATTACAAACCCCTAAAGGAAAGGAGGGCAGAGCCCAGGATCACAGGGGAACGCTCTTTGTCTATAGAGGTAAAATAATGCATGGCACTATCGTCCTGTTGCTGGTGGTCTTAGGGCAAGCCAGAGTGTGTGTTGCATGAAGACAGCTTACAATAAACACAGCATGCTGGCATGCTTAAATGGAGTATAGTTACAATAAACAAGCACTATTATAGCAAGGAGCAAAACAGTTTACTGCATTAAGATAAACAGCCAAGTTCATCAGTGTTTCACAGGCTTCAACAGCACACACATACAACAGCAAAATTAATCAGAACAAAACAAATGTCTGGGTGAACTCATTCAGATCAGACTGAAAAGAAATGTCCAAAAATGATTAAACATTAACGTTATGTTAATAAAAATAAAATCAAAAGTAATGTTGCTTACTTTTCTAAATAAAAAAAATCTGTATCTGTTCAGAAGACATGAATCAGGACTGGATTTTTCTGTCTACACAAAAGTAAAAATAACTACTTTAAAACTGATTAACACTTTATGGCAGAGGTTCTTAACCTTTTTGACTTTGGGGCCCAATTTGTTCCACATAAAGTGACACGAGGCCCAGTCACACATTACCATATGGATCAAAATGATAATATTCTAAATCTTGGTTTAATTTGTATTGTATTTGCA